TGTTTTGAATGTACTGAGTGTATGTACGGTTGGCGTGAATAGAAGTTGGTGTTGCGTACCAGTAGAGTTCTGCTTCCTCGTTCGGGGCTTTGGTCGTGCTTGTTCAAGACCCTGCGTGCAGGGGACTAGTGTACGTGTAGACACGTCACAACCTTTCAGAGAGTAGCACGAAACATCTTGTTAGGCTTTATTTTAATTCCTTTGTTTTGAGTCATGAAAGATATGGGGATAGTGGATGAAGGTGCCCTGATTTCTGTTTACTTCCGTTTTCGCGGTGAAATCGTAGAATTTAATGTTTGCGCCGCGGATATTTCGCGGAATTTTTAAGTTGGATCGCGGAATATATGTTTTGACATCGTGGCCATTGTCTATGGCCAAAAGCTTCTTTGCTGGAGATTTCACTGCGGATCGGATCTCAGAATTAGTTTCATCTTTTTATCTCCTCGGAGTGTTCCCCAGGAGGTACCGTGGCGTAAGCAAATGTCGCGCTTGTTGTTAATCTTTAAGGATGTACAACTTTCTATGTGTATACTTCAGTGTATCTGCGGAGAAACCGAGAGACATTGTGATTAGTGTTGGGTAAGTTTGCTTGTCCGCGTAAGTTTGTACGTTCAATTGAATGTCTGCACAGTTGTATGTGGGCGAGGGTGCAGCTGAGTGGACACACCTCGGATGACTTTGCACTTGTAACTGGTGTGAAGCAAGGCTGTGTCTTAGCTCCTTCCCTGATTAATATTTATCTTCATGCAATGATGTCTTGTGATTTTGATGCGGCTTGTGCTTACAGTGATCGTGTGGGGCATCGTAGTGATGTTGGGTTGCTGACCATCTGTCATTTCGGTGCTAGAACCCTAGTCTGTGAGACAACTATCCGTAGGTTGCTGTTTGCTGACGACTGTGCGTTGTTTGCACACAGCACGGATGAGTTGCAACCCATGACTAGTGCTCTGGATTAGACAGCGGCCAAATTCGGACTCATCATCAACACAAGCAAAACTGTCTGTCTCTCTCAGCCTTCACCGGAGGTGCAATCTTCAATATTGCCGCAAATCAGAATTGGGGCTGAAGTATTAGAAACCACCTCCCGCTTCTGCTGCCTTGGGTGTGTGTTGTCGACTGACATGCAGCTTCACAGTGAACTTCGTATCCGCGTGTCGTAGGCAGCGTCGGCATTCGGGAAGCTAGAGTACCGAGTGTGGAACAACCATCAGCTTACCGTTGGCAAGAAGCTGGTGCTGTCCGCTCTTCTATACGGCAGCGAAACGTGGACGATATACCGGCGAGATGTGAGATATCTGGACAGTGTTTTCGACGGATTCTACTCATCGGTTGGTGCGACAGAGTTGCTGACACGGAAGTGTTGCGCCGGAGTGGAATGTATGCAGTGGACTGCATATTTTTGCTGAGACTCCTTAGGTGGCTCGGTCATGTGAACCGTATGGATTCATCTCGGATACCGAAACAGCTATTACGTGGTCAACTGAGTATTGGGAAGCGGCATGTGGGGAAACCGAAGTTACGTTATCAGGTCATGATCAAAGTGAGCCTCTCACGTTCTAATCTTGGTTGCAGGTTATTGGAATCGAAGACGGTTGATCGGCGTGCATGGCGAGATCTGATCACGAAGGCAGTTGCCGAAGTGTGGGAGAAAGCCCTCGTGCATGCAGAGATAAAGCGGCAAGTGCGGAAGCTGCGAGCGCCGATGGTTTGCACTCCATCGACATCGAGCACATGGTGCTGTGGCACATGCGGTCACGAGTGCCTGAGTCAGGCAGGCCTAGTGAGCAATAAGCGACGCCCCTCGGTGCGAACATCGGAACAACGACGAGTCCTGCTGAGAACGTAGGCAGGACCGGTGCCGCGTTGCTGGGTACGCTGCGTTCCATTTACTAACCGCGTGCTTGCTTGCTGAGTCACTTTATTTCAGCTGTTGAGTTTGCCATCTTGTCCTAATAATGTTTTATCTCATATTAATGTCTACCTGATCTATCGTCTATAAACTTGCACAAGTCGCTTAAGCTAATTGTAGTTAACTCCGAGAACATTTTCGCGGTTGTGGCAATTTCTTAAAATCTATTTTCTGACGTCGTGAAACTATAGCGGATTTGTTCGTAACCAATTTATTTCATATGCTCATTTAGTGAAGAGTAACCTCACCGCATCTATAAGCATTATACGTTTTAATTTATTTGATATCGTCGTTTCAAGTGATTCGCTGTTACTTGATATCCCCGGTGGGGCTGCGCTTGATTTGCATGTTGATGAGGTGCGTACCTGTATATTACCCACTACCTCGTCCATACTGGCACCAGGAAACAGTTGAGTGTGGCTGGAATGGACGGGGTGCACGGTCATGGTGGCCAAGCTAGGCTCGAGGAGTGGTTCCATGCAGTCAGTGTGGAGCAGACTACGGTCCAGCCACCGCCATGTGTACGTCTGGTGTGCATGATTTCTCATCGAGGCCGGAATGCTTCTGTTCTGCTTGTTGAAGGAGTGTGGGCCGGCTCCGTTGAGGAAACGTGGCTCCCATCCACATGCCTCCCTGTCTTATTCCTTCGGGTTTACACTGGATATGGGGTGTGTGGTTTGAGCTGTGGAGCTGCAGCGCCAGCCACCCATGGTCGCTCTGTAGGCACAGGCGTCCTGTGATTGTGCCTTGGCGACCACAGTGACAGGCCTATCCGAAACCGGATGCCGCCAACCATCTGCACTTGTAAGTTTGCATTTTACTGGCACCTATTCTATATTCTGTGATCTCCACACCGACCACTCTAGGGGACGTGTTAAACTCTGATGCTTTACTTGTATTAACCCCTAGTCACATTGTTCCATTGTTCTCGACCATAGAGGCAAACAGGGTTGTCTTATAACTTAATACAAAAATAGCTGAGCCTATATACAGGTAACCTGTACATCCCATTGCTAGAATAATAGCTATTAAGATACAAAAACATTGCTGTGTTTTCAGGGTACCGGATACCTGTTTAGATTTTCACACAACATCAATTCTGATGACGATCCACATCTAGGTAGACCAATGTCATTTCGGTCACTGGGACCATACTTGAAGTGGATAAAAACAAGCTAATGTTTAGTTTCGAGGTTGTGCTCCATACTTCGTTTAGTCATTGATTCGAATTTTGTGGTAACTGTATCGAGAATCTCAACATTGAGTCACTAGCACTTATAACAACCTTTCGTCGTAGAGTTACGCGGTCTGTTGGTGACAGCCTCATCCAGCAATCTCGCCTTCGTGTCTAAACAGCGCTAAGAGATGGGGGCAGACAACACGTAACAGCAGATATCTGCCGCCGACCAATTCAGGGAGTGCATCTGCACGAAATTTGGAAGCACCGCCAAGGGTAACAAAATCCTGAATAGAAGCGTGTTAAGGTCCAGGGGTTTTGGTGTGGTCGGTTACGAAACAGTCATCAGTGCGGCATCTGGTTCCGCTGACATGAGTCGTTGAATTGAGCACACCGCTTATGTCCTATGCCGCTCACAGGATTGATGATGAGGCATGAATACGTCTCGATGCTGTAGTATTTATTATCTATTTTGGAGTAGCCAGAATTATTTCTGCCAATAGAGTTGCTGTCTCTAACTGATTTCAAGTAGGGTCTTGTGCGTATGGCAAGAAAATAAAGCCATTTGGGTCAAGAGACTAGACAAGGTTGTGCAATCGAGAGCACTCAAGGAATGCGAGCGTAAGTATCTGTTGTTATGCACGATTTCTGGGCGATAACTCGACGCCTACCGAAGAGTCGAGACAACTGTCTCTACCATTACGCTATCGTTCCTCGGAAAGAACTTGTGAGTTGATGGGTCATTGTCACACCGTCTGAGATTTGCAGAACAAAATAGAACTGTGAATTCATCTCAGTAGCTTCCAAGTCAGATCATTCATGCATCCATTTTACACATTAGCAAGGGATGCGAATCACACCAAGCAAGATCCAGCGACTTATATGACTAATCCATGAGGGATCGCAGGTGACTGTCATGAGGTATAAGCTTAGTGGCACATTTTGCCAGCTAGTGGCGCAAGTCGCTAGTGGTCATTAGCTCGGATACCAACGTAGCCCAGGAATGTGTAATACTGACCAGTTCCGATAGGACAAAACGGTTGTCTAGTGCCTTTTTGCGCCTGTGGAAGCTCACCCGACTTGGATACTGCTACGACAAACCTCTTGCTCATGATTACATCAAAGCTAAATATGCTTGGACACAGCCGATTCAGAAGGCGCTTCCTCAGTGCCCGAGTACCCCATACTTTTTGCATTCTCTATTGATGGTACCACGGCTACAGTCCTTTTACTCTTAGTTAAGGTAATTATTCGACCCCGATGCATTGGAAAAGTTGGACTAATTTCAATCATCCAGTATGCTTCCGACTGTAGTCTATTTGCAAGACAGCATGAACACGAACATGAGGGATTAAGTTTTGGTTCCAGCAGACATCTCCACTGTGTCCTGAGGATTGATGGCAGCAAAGAGACATTCAGTTACATTTGTTGGTTTATACGTTTGCATATGGCGGTTTGCCAGAAATTAGGTCTTCGACCGCAGAGACCAACTGCTGGTAGAGATTGCAGCCACAGGTTGCTGACGAGAAAAAGAAACCAGGCCTGTCCTAACAAAGGCCTGTTCAATAACGTTGTTTTAACGCGCCAGCCCGTTAACCCCATTAGTTGTTTAGAGTCACTGCCTTTGCTTTCGGATTGCAGTCGTATTCTGTCGCTAATATCATCAGTTTTTTTCCTGGGTGTGCATCCGATTGGCTCCTTAGTTGTTCAGTCCTTATTGGTTTTGTCTGTTCGTACGCTCAGAGCCTTTACATTTGTGCGTCCGGCTAGATAATGAAAGTGTTTCCTTATGCAAAAAAACCTTGAATACTGTTCCTGCTCGTTCGTGTTTTCACTACCGTTAGTGGGTGGAAGCATTAGTGGGGCTAACGCACCAGGTTTGTAGCTTTATCATTGTAGAAAGGAAGATGTTAGGTTTTTAATTTGTATACATCATTTATCTGCGCTCTAAAGATGTTTGACATGGGGTGAATAACTTAGTTATTCCGAACACACACATAGTGTTTGGCCAAGTCGCAGCGTTAGAGCATTTTGTATCAGGGTCTGGTAATTCATAGGTCACAAGAGTGTTATGCTAACATGGATAGCTCACTCATGTTCTGTCATATTCCGAGAGTGACAGATGACGTTCGCCTACATCTGGTGCTTGGAGAAAAGTTGCTGTCACCTGTTGTTCCTGAGCTCACTATGCATCGTTGTGAAATCTGTTGTTGAGCAACCGCAGTTGGCTTGTTAATCGAACGCTGCTTTTTTGACGACTTGGGACTCCCGTGTATCTCATCGACGGCAGTCAACCGGTAAGCTTTCACTAGCACGCGCTTTGCCATTTCCCAAAGCGAGTCATCATCATCGTTGTCCATTTTATTCGGTGACACTTTGAAGTTGTCCGATTTGACGGCACCTGCGCATTTGGCAACAGCTGTACCGATATCTTTGTTGATAGACTTTCTTCTCGGCTTTCTATTCGTTCCCATTTTTATTAGCATAGCTTTTTCCCCCAGTTTTCTTGATAAACATGTACTGGGGTTCCATTTGGTAGTACGTTTCGGTAGGCAGTATTCTGAGGCGGAGGTTGATAAATTCGGTGGGCCCCTTATCTCGACTGAGTTATTTGTTCCGTTTCTAACTGATTGATCACCAGGAGCTCGTGAAGGTGAGAATATCTGGTGCGCTTTTGGATTCTCTCTATTTTCGGTCCACCACATTCTCCGGTTCGAATCCGAGTTAATACGTGTGGCCTTGTCATTTGAGCATTTGTCACCGTACACCTGACGAGTCGAAGCGGTGAAACACAAAGATACATCCTGAACGTTTCCACTACCCCCAGACTTGTCAGGGGAGTCATACTCATGTGTGGGTCTAAACGAGGAACACGTAGCAGCTGCAGTGCTTTTCAATTCAGTAGCACCCTTAGTACCTTGGTGAACGCTGAACGACAGAGGCGCATTGGCAGCCACATGATACTTGGGAAGTGTCGAGTTTCGCCGTTCCTGCGAAGCATCAACAATGGGGGCAGTGGCGGGCTTGCATGTTGTGGCGTTGACATAATACATGAAGTGCGGGGATCGGTTGTGAACAGCAAGTCTGTCAGATGGAGGTAACAGCCCCTCAGTTTGAAGTTCATTTGCTGACATAGGGAACTCGCCTCGGGCATGCGTTTCTGGTAACTTTAATTTTTTAATTATGTGACTGGCCATTAATCTCGTAGCTGCACGTTTTGGTGCTTCAGTGGGTTTCACTTCCTTTAGGGATAGGTGCGTCGACTGACTAGTGGAAATCCCATGATGCGTTGAACATACACCACTTGGCTCTTTATGTTCTGATATTTGTATTTCACCACCCCTCAAACTAAAACACTGCTGCGGCTGAGGTGAAGGTTGGTAGAAATTTGAATCAGATGTGAAGTCTGGTTCACTGGGTACAGAGCCCATAGCCGGCACCTTATCCTCACGGGCTGATTGAGATACAATGTTTGGTAGCGAACAATAACTGGAACAGTAATTTTCGGCCGACATTACTCGATTTGGTCTCGACTGCATCGTCATTCGCGATGGTTCTGAGGATGGACTAAAGAAGAAAAAGTTTAATAATGCTGGTAAAGGAAGTAGTTACACTTGTGTGATTTTATCGATAACAATAAAGAAACTATATTTGCTGTTACATAACTGCGAACATGCAAACTTCAGTCGCCACGTATCCACAGCAGCTTGCCTAAGTCATGCAACCAACCAGTTTCTCTTTCTATCGCGCTCTCTCTCCCTCATATATATATATATATATATATATATATATATATACTCAGAAGTGAACTGACTACTGGTTGTTTCGGCGGAGCTGTACGCTACCGGGCGCGTCCCCAGGTTGCGGATCGGGGAACGTCTTCCATGTGAAGGTAACTATGAATGAGTTTCGGTTGTTCGTAGGCGAGATGAATAAACACTCGCGGACAATCAACGGCAGCGTCCTAGAGCGTGTGGGGGGGGGTTTCTAGGATGGTCACCTGCTTCCTCAGTAAATACCATAAGAGCTCGCAAGACGCTGTGTCAAGGCCAGTATGACCGGCTATAGTGTCACTGACTACCCACTTCGGGTCACAGAAGGGAGTACTTAACAGAGGGCGGATGAACAACCCCAATGGCCACCGGCTTATATGAAGGCGTATGAGCCACCCGGCTGTCAACGGCCGCGCTCCGCAGCGAGTTTCGTAGTCCAGGGAATCCTGGCTTCCCTGCTGCTTCACTGGGGTCCTTTGAGAGACCTTAGCAGTGTGCCTCTAGTCGAAAGTCGTTTTATCCTCACCGAGATATCCGGCTACCGACGATTCACGGTAATGGTCAATAGCCCGCTGCCTTGCGGGTTTGATCTTTCATGACCCAAGGCTCTGGGTGCGGTCCCCCTAAGTCAACCCTGTTTCTCGGCCTGGGCCACTTGGGAAGTGCCGTGCCCACACAACCTATGGATGCATGTCTCAAGAATACTTCGCTCGCTGTCTCCCCTCTTGCTCTATCTAAACTCACTCTTTCGAACTTGTGTCATCGGCCGATACGCTGGCGGCTGAACCTACCAAACCACGTTTTACCGCACCACCGTTTAGTCACTCTAATCTACCTTTGTTCAATCCCCATTCTTAGTCTTCTTCTTCTTCTTCTTCCGTTTTCGAGTTCACAATGCCATGCCACCTTGGGCGAACGTTCTTGCTATACGGATCAGGAGCCTAGGTTCGAGGATGTGCCAATTCATGTTGACAAGCCAATTCTAGCACCCCGTTCCAAATTCAAACTGACAAACTTCAATGTTTGGACGCTGATGCATAATGGATCACAGAAAGCCCTTGCTCGCACGCTAGTAACTACGGCCATTGATGTAGGCTGTGTCAGCGAGACCCGTTTACAGGACCCTAGCACGTCGCTGCGAATGGTTTCACCGTCTGCGAATTCCGCTGGCATTTTTTACTTTGCGCCTTTCTGGGAACTCAACCACCGAAGCCGCCGGTTGTGCTGGCTTAGGGATTGCGTTGAGCACATGTACTGAGGCCGCGCTACTAGACTGGATCCCGGTTAACAGTCGACTATGCTCGATCCAACTTGAAATCGCAGTGCGACTGTCCAGGCGCGAAGACAGCAGACGCTATCTATTCATTGTCGCAGCATATCCTCTCACAGATTGCAGCCGGAGTCAGTTAAGGACGAGTTCTATGGTTAACTGGCCGATCTTCTCCGTAAAAAGCGCAGTATTGACATTGTGGTGTTCGCCGGGGACTTGAACCCGTAGGTCGGTAGACTTGAAGTTGTCGCAAGAGAGCTCAGTGGCCAACACGGCCATGGCACACGCAGAACTGACAACAGTGATCGACTACATCAGCTTTGCGCCGATCATGGCCTCTTTCCGTCGAACACTAGCTTTAGGGGATCCTGGTGCCAACGCGCCACCTGCAGACCACCATCACCAGGCCAGTCGTGGACACAAATTGACCACATCGTCATTAGCTATCGTTGGTTGGGCTGCATAGCGAATTGCAAATCAATCTAGAGTACCTATCTCACTTCTGTTCACGCGCTGGTGTGTGCCAAGGTTGCGCTACGTTTTGGTGGCTCTCAGCAGCGTTGCCATAAACGGCTTGACGTAGCTAAGTTTGCTGCTCCGAACGGTCTTCGCGCATTTCAGGACTTCGTGGCCTCAAGGCTGAAGACGGTCTCATGCACAGACGTTGAAACACACTGGACACATCTGCGGTGCCATGCACAACTCTGCAACACTGGTCTGTGGTTTCACCAGTAGTCCTGTCAAACACTAGTTCTCTGCACGATCCCTCCAACTTCTCGAGGCCCGTCGAGCAATTACTGCTAGCGTTGAATACCATTCACTACGCAATACTACTAAAGCTGACCTCAAATAGCTTCTCTGGGATGATCGCGAGGCCTGGTGGACGCAGCGGGTCATTGAGATGGAGAAATCGGCCACTTCGGGGAATTTTCGAAATCTTTTCCTCCTGATCAGATCTACTGGTAGCGAAAGGCCGACTGTAAGCGAAGTTTTATGGGAAACCAATGGTGAGCCAATCCACTGTCAAAGCATCGACTCGAGCGTTGGACCGCGCATGTTGAGCATCAGTTTAATTGACCCACAGCACCACTGAGTTCCCATTCTGGAGTCCAGAGCGCTCCATCCGAGGTTGCTGCTGCCCACGAGCTTCGCATCTTAAAGTGCTACAAAGCTCCTGGCCCAGATGAAATACCTCCGGTTCTTTACAAAAACGGCGGCCCATCATTTGTTTAGGAGTTAACTTCTCTCCTCCAAGAGATCTGGTTTACTGTAGTTATCACATCTGATTGGAGCCTAGCAGATATCCTGCTCGTTTGCAAAAAGGGTGCCCGAACTGATTGCGCCAACCATAGAGGGGTTAGTCTCAGCTATGTTGCTTCCAAGCTTCTCGCAGCTCTGCTCCTAAGGAGGCACAGCCTGGTATGCGAACAGAACACACGTGAAGAGCAAGCTGGGTTCCGCTCAGATGGGAGCTGCATCGATCACATCTTTACACTCCGCCAAATACTCGAGCGTCGTCAAATATTTGGTCAGCCAACGATTGTTGTCTTCTTAGACATACAAACCGTGTTTGACTCAGTCGACAGAGCTGCTCTCTGGAGTTGTCTACTGAGAAGGGGAGTGCCTGAGAAGTATGTCACCTTACTTCAAGCCATCTACTCTCGAACCTCGGGCCGAGTGCGGATGTACGGCGGACTTTCGCTCCCTTTGGTATCAGCAGTGACATGAGACAGTGTTGTCCAGCATCCCCTTCTTGTTCAATTTCGCTATAGACGAAATATTGGCCAGTGCTGTAGAGAACTGCGAATCCAGCGGCGTCAGGCTGCTTCCGGGGGAACGAATTCGGTATTTGGAGCATGCAGATGACATCGCCGTAATCTGCGCACCCTCACAGACCACCCAAAATGTCATGTGTTGGTTGGATATGTCTGTCTCCCAGTTTGGAATTACCTTTGCATAATCGAAATCTAAGGTTCTCCTGCAGGACTGGCTAGGCGCTGCTCCAAAACTTACTCTTCTATGTCATTCATTGGAAGTGGTTGGAGTATATATATATATATATATATATATATATATATATATATATATATATATATATATATATATATATATATATATATATATATATATATATATATATATATATATATAGAGAGAGAGAGAGAGAGAGAGAGAGAGAGGCCACCGATGCTCTGATCGAGCAAGCTTGTGCTGGGTTCCATGTTAAGCAGCGCACACGGTGCGGTAGAATGTATGGATTCAAATAGATCGAGCTATCTGATCACTTGGAGGAAGTGGTTAAGAACTTGAAATTACAGACATTTAGATATGTAATGTGCTTTATCACTTACAAACGTCAGTCGTTATTGCCAAATTGAAATTATGCTACTCAGACCCAAAGTAAATGTTATTTAGTGGTGAATGCACTTAGTAAATTCCTGCTTCTCCTGTGTACGTTGAGAAAGTAAACGTATCCCTGCTCTCTTGGTCGGGCACTTGGAGGCAATGCCTCTTGTGAACAGGGTTTATAAGCAGAAGTTTAAAGGATGTTGGTTTCCAGAAGCAGCAAGCAAGTTCGTTTCCTTTGGGCTATAGTATATTTCGGGGTGATGCGTCATTTCCCTTTCATCTACTAAATGAACCGGAAAAATGTCTGCCATTTGAGATAACCAAGTTAGTAAGCCTTGAGTCCTACAATTCATCCATGATGAAGCTAAACTTTGAACTGAATAAGCTTGGGTTGAAAATTTACGGAATTCAAGACAAAAAATAATAAAAACGCAGCATTAGCGGTCGAACTACTCAAAGTCAATGTTGCATTTGCTGCGGACAAAATTGCGTATTTCTAGAGTGCAGATAAATGAGCATGGGACAACAAATGTTCTTATCCGATTAGCCGAAGATGCTGAATAAGTGTCATGAAATACCCAGACCAATCAGATTTGAGAAAGTTTAGGTGACATCCAGGGAATATGAAATACCCATTGCGGACCGAAACTATCCCTGGAACATCTAACATGAGACCAGTTTGGGTTCCGGGAACACAGTATCAGTAATCCCTCATCTGAGCGTCAACGATGTGTTTCAGCCGGTAGGCAAAATAGTAAGATGTTCAGCACACTAATGAATATGTCTCATCCACACGCGTATGGTGGACGATATTCCGCTTGGATGGGGTGCCCAACAGCTGAATAATTGACTAAACGTTGAGAATAGACATTCACACAATGGAGAGGGTTTAAAATTGCGCACCAGGTGAGTATATGCACCTGAGATACCCATGCGCTGTATGTCTATTGCTTCAGAATGCAATATTTGTCAGATAATAGACGTGACCATATTATTAACTGCTACAATTGGCTCGTATCCGGGCCTCCGAATGAAAGTTTGATCAAGCCAAAGGTAGCCAGGACCGTCACCGTGGAACCATAAGTTAGCTGGCGCGGCTGAAGCAGTGTGCACTTATCATCGTTTCCACGATGAGGAGAACTGTGGCTCAGTTTGAAGGACGGTTAACACCGGAATATATAAGTGGTTTACCCAAGTGGATTAGATACCTAGTGAATCGGTTCAGTTCGGTGAGCCATTTGAATTCTTTGGAGATAGAGGCACTCACTGAACTATTTTTCAGCGAAAAGAAAACCGTCTGTGGGTTGGTTCAAAAAACCATCCCTTACCGGGTTATTTCCGGATTGTATCTCGAAGTTAAAAGTTTGATAACCATCAACAGATTTATGCGTCAAGCTTACAAAATAACTGTTCAACGATACTTCAGAGTGTAATTTTCAAAACACCTCACATAGTTTGGTGATGAGAATTTAGGCTAACATTTTGCCGCCCGCGAACTCTTCTCGCCACCGATCATCTCATATGTTCACCCAATCTCAAGGATTTCCGCGCCATCATGCATAATAGAGGGCAAACATACTTGAAAATTCAAAGCAATTTAGCCAGACAATTTTGTGATTCCATATGCTTCAAAGCCCTAAACACAAAGTAGAAAATGTTTAGGTCCTCGCGTCTGTAAATGCAGCAGACTATGAGCATTTCAGTGTCCACCAAAAGATCGGAAGCTCACATGATTTGCGCCAACGATACACAGACGGATTTATCAGCAGACTGTGCAGCATTCTGGGGACTTTTGGGACAGCCAGTCACTTCCAGTTGCGGACGATGAATAGCAGTTCCTTCTATACGCAAATCTAGTCCCGTGTAAACCTGTGGAACCGGTAAATCCTGACGATAAATGAGCTCAAACTGGCCAGTGTCACAATTCCTTCCTGATCTTCTGTCAATAACAACTGCAAAAAAGTAAACAGGCAACATTTAAAATGAAGTTGGGTTGGATGAGATGCACAGATAAGTCAAAGTATTACTAAGAATTGATATGTTCTCAACGAGATGACATTCGGCCCAGCAAAGCTGGTCTGCCCATAAGATACCCAGGAACTACAAACTGAAATTACAGCTCTGCAAGATAAAAGGAGCCTGAGGTGGAGCCCGATGTGTCAAACTAAACCATCGCATTAGATTTAATCACGGCGGCAAAATCAACGTGACCAATACTTTGTGTGGTCTACTGACCTGTTAGCAGCCTAAGGCTAATCGGTATCCTCTCTTCGCCTTCCATTTCTTCATAAGCCTGCCATCTGAATGGAAAGTTCGACCTAATGAATTACTCGGATGGCATGTGACTCGTAGTAATGATTACGGACTTGCTTGGACACCGTGAGCTAATTCCCGCGACCGCAGAAGAGAGAAATCTATTAGCTTTACTCTGGTCTCTAGGTTGTACCACCGCACTGCATCGGCGACAGCATAACCGATGCATCCAGCGACGTTTAGACAGATGAGAGACTGTTTTAAAAATAAGCTGTCTTATCGATAGGTACTTGTATCACTATTTTAGCGAATGAATTAAAAGCTCTGGCTTCTTTGTTGTGCAAAGTTAATTCATTCACTTTCAGGAGTAATTAACTCGTTGGGAAGATTTCCGATTGAACATATACATATGCCAGGGAGGTAACAAACATCACACACGTTAAAGAAAGCCTTTTCATGGATGTACTTATCAACATAGTAGTATCCACTAAAGTTGTGCAATAGGTTGATGGTCTACAGTCGAATAAAGCCAACTGGTCCGCCATCGGTGAATGGTTAGTCGCGCAGTTCTTCCAACCGAAGTGCAAGCGGTGCTTTTCACTGTAGCATCTATGTTAACGAATAGATGAAGTTTAGACTAGATGACCTGCAGTTATTGATGGAAAAAGGAAAGCCTTTTCAAATAGTACCTTTCAGTGTATCTTCTAGCACACTGGAAGTGAGTTTGGCAGTAACTGCCGTGCTTGGAGACATACACGGACTGGAGTTGATTTCAATGAGCCACAGCCTGAAGTCTTCTGTCAGCATGAAGTCTGCCCCATACAATGCGAAAGAGTTCTATAGTGGAGCGGAGAATGCAAGTAGGAAACATGAACTCTTTCACGAAAAAGGTATCTTAAGCGAACATAAACGAGGCTTCGAATAAAACAAACGGTTCACAGAGGAGGCGGGAGAGACAAGTACAACAAAACTGTGTCAAAATGTAAACGATGAAGCGTCACTGTTAAAGAAAATTTGTCATAATTTGGTCGTGTTATCTTACTGCCAGAAGGCTCGGAAAACACTAGATATTTGCCAAATTAATCCAAAATTCCTCAGCATCAAATGTGTCCCCAAGTTAACATCACAGTGAGACAAGTCACCCAGAGTCTAAGTTTGTGATCCGCGTCGCATAGTCGTGCAGCGCAACCAGCGTGCAGTTTTGTTTGGCCATTTTTATCCTGATTGGTGTAGGGTGTTAGGGGACACGTACTGGACGTGTAATTTTTGGAAAAACCTTAGTTAACGACTTGTTTCCTTCCACTATCGTTGTTACTGGCATTTGTCTAAACATGTAATTCCGCTAACTTCATTGGCCGCATGTGGTCATTGTTTCCGCTCTTGGATCGCCGTTGTACTTGTCTGCTAATGCTCACAGTTTTCTTTTGTTGCGTGCTCCTTATTAGCTTCTTTACGGATCACACTTCATTAGCTTCATTCTGCTTGCATGTTTTCAGCACTATGCTTGGCTAGAATACACTTTAGTAGTTTCCTTTCAGCTCATTCTCAAAACTATATAAGCAGGCATGATTCAATGCATACAATTCTTTCCCGGCACCTCTTTGAAATTCTTCTTGTGGTGGTGGGGCGAAAGCATTCTTTGGTGACACAACATAGGGCAGCATATACCATCGCGCAGTTGTCAAACAACAGTCTGAATATCAAGGTAGATATGTTAAGAACAAATTTGTCAATCTTCTCGACGGAATCGTAATTGTCTCTTACATATTAAGTACCTGATGGTTAAATAAGGGATAGGTTCGTATTTCTTAAGATGAGCAAATTTAACCTTGAGAACAAAATGTAATTTGTTGCGCATTTGTTTGATCTATGATGTGACTGCTGTTGTGTTGTTCAGACAAGGCAACAATGCACATAGGCGGCTACATTTTTAAACAATCATATTACATTTTGTAGAAAGTAGGAGCCACGATTAAACTTTGCACAATAATCTGTGCAACGTTTAATCATGGCCTCTACTTTCTACAAACATTACATACTCACAAAACCACCAACAATCCTAATCATATTACTATCAACTTGACAGTAGGAAGGCATATAAATAAATAAACAAATGGTATATTCCTCGGTGGTGCGAGGTGCAGTCCAACTACGTGGTCTGATCAATGTGCACAACAGGATCGTAAAAAATAATCAATTTGTTCATGCTTTTTACAATGGATCCAAAACAGGTATTAAAGTAATTGGCAGGATTAAGGTATTAAATAAATAAAAAACCAGGAACAATAATATACGCAGATTTAAACAAATGTCCAGACAGAGATTTGCGTGCGTTCGAGCGAACGCGATTCGCAATGCGGCATGAGAGCTCTCGGTCAACCAAGGCAGTGTACGAAGATGTAATTGCTTATAGTCGCCTTATGCAGCTACCGACAGGGTTGCTTTAGGTCTCTTGAAGTAGACCTAGCAACAAGCTTTCTGATAACTCCAAAAACCTTCATGAAGGTAGAAAAGTAGTGCACTCGTAGGTGAACGGCAGCGCTGAAACACAGCCAGGATTGTAAACCGGCGTTAGACGTTGATCCGTTAGTAGTACCCTAGAGATAGTTTGCGCAATGGGTACGCCTGCTTGAGCCCGATTGAATGAGTGTACCCAGGCCGATGTGCGAAAAATTTGAATCCGAAAACTTTAAAAATCAGGAGCAACGAAATATTCCGACTAGCATGAGTGTAGTACACTTAACAAACCCCCTGTCCCACAACCATCGCCTAGGTTCCTACAGGGGATCTATGTGGACCATTAATTGGCTTGTTTTTCACTTTGAACATACATATAATGTGGCCCTAGTGGGCCACAAACAGGGGTATTCCTAAACCCAACGAGGAATACCCAACCTCTGTGATAAGTATCGCGGAGTTGTGTAAGATTAATAGCTCTGGTTATCTCCAACAGAGAACAAACGTAGAGGAGTTTAGTTAAAGGCTGCAGCGTCTACAGCAAACAACGCAGATGACCTCTCCACTCTTATTCCACAATTTGCACGTATGTAAGTGAATTATTTCCCAACAGTAATGAAAACGACCAATTAGTTGGTTTCGTCAGTCTAGACAATTTTAGCATTACATGAGGTTCTTCGCAGCAACCGTCCAAATCAGATAGTCGTCCACATGCTCGGAAAAGCACTAGACTGTAGTTTCAGCTTGTTGGGCATCATCAGTAGTGCGCATCCATCGGATCCATCAGGATTCGAACCCATGACCACGGGCGGCTCGAACCGCCAGTCAGTAGCTTACGCCACCGGGCCACGGGGGACAGCTTCGGACAGTCATGATTGGCAAGCTAACTGCGATCTAGCGCGTCTTATCCTCCGCTGTCATGCAAGTTCCGAACGTTGCAAAGGACAGGGTTAGCCCCGAAAGGCATGTGGACGACTCTCTGATTTGGAAGCTGACTGCGGAGAACCTCAATTAATCACATCGAAATCCCCTACTCATGAGTACCTTTAGGATTATCCGGATGTTGCCGAAAGGTACCGTGGTCATAATGTCAAGATTTTTGGCACTACCATTTAGCATCAGGAACTAGCAACTGACTGGTGCAATAGCGTCACTCAGATGATCATACTGAATACGATTCCCTTGCTATTCCCAAACCACAAACAACTTATGTAGATCAGGGTAATTCCAGTCATGTTTTGAAAGGTCTTACTGTGCGGTACTGGAAGGGTGATAATCGACCCCACTTAGATGATGTTCCTTCACAGCGGAATACAAAAAAATGCAATAGTACTGGTGTAACAAGCATGGTTGCACACATAATGGCAAGCGAAGGGCCTTGGACGTAACGGATTCTTCTTTGGTAACTAGAGGCGATAACATTTGAATCCTTTCCGTTGACGAGACATAAACCGTGGTGTGTCCTCTGCATAACGGGCTCTACCGCTGTCATTTGGTAACTCACGGTAAATCTTCATTGGCACTGCCCGCACGACTTCATTTTGCAACATACTATTGCTGCATATTTCTAGCAGCCATGTCTGATAGTCGTGCTCAGTGAACCTTCCTAATATAGCTTCTACTGCGTCTAGCAAACGCACTCTGGAACGAACACCCATGGTTCCACTGAAAAGAGTTTTCAACAACACCCACTTGTGTCTCATTCGTTTGAATCTGCCAGAATGTTTGTTATGCCCGAATCTAGTTAGTTTTCGGTAAGCAAGTTACACCTGGTGACAAAAAGGCGGGTGGGGGAGATGATTATTCAACTCGAGTTAAATCATGAGCATCAGTTACTATGGGTGATGGTCACTTGTTCTACCGAGGTAATGATTTTCGTCCTCGGAAAACCAGAGATATTATTATTCGTTTGTGCTGGATAATTAAGCGATTTGCATTCCCTACACTTGTTACCTTCCAGAAATTAGCAGGAAAAATTAACCGACAATTGGATTAAAAACAATCAACATTCCCTCTGTCATATTGCTGATTTGAATTTTATTGCATATGGTTGGCGGCATCCGGTTTCGGATAGGCCTGTCACTGTGGCAAGCCACAGGACGCCTGCGCCTACAGAGGGACCATGGATGACTTGCGCTGCACCACCCACAGCTCCATCCACGCACCTCATATCCAGTGTAAACCCGAAGGAATAAGACCGGGAGGCATATGGATGGGAACCACGTTTCATCAACGGAGCCGGCCCACACTCCTTCACAGGCAAACACAAGCACACTGTATTTGGGGAATCAAGTGCACACAAGGCGGTGGCTGGACAGTAGTCCGCTCCACACTGAGTGCATGGAACCATTCTTTGATCCTAACACGGCCACAAGGACCGTGCACCCCGTCCCCTCCAGCAACGACCAACTGTCTTCTGGAGCCAGTATGGACGTGGTAGTGGGTAATAGACAGGTAGGCACCTTGTCAACATGCACATCAAGCGCAGCCACACCGGGGATATCAAACAACAGCCAAACAATTGAGAGAGAGAGAAAGAAAAAGAGAAAAACTCGATTAATGCATAAGGAAGCGGTGATATAAACCTTAAGTAAATAGCATATGTAATAAGTTGTTTACAAACAAATCCTAGCTAAGTGCACGAGGTCTGGAAATATAGTTCACGGAATGCCACGAACACAAATATGCTACGGAAATCGAATACAATTGGCTTAAGCGAGGTGTGCAAGTTAATGGAATAGAGTACAGGTAGACATTTATATGCGAAAGAAAAGCATTAAGGCAAAATTGAAAACCCACCACCTGAAATAAAGAGACTTAGCATGCAAGCACGCGGTTAGTAAAAAGAATGCAGCGTATCTACAGACGCTGCGCCGGTTTTGAATATTCTCTGCAGGACCCGTCGTCGCTTCTGTAGTAGTCCGGAGTGGCCTCGCTCATGGCTCACTAGACACTAGACATTTATAGGAGAAAGAAAGGCATTAGGACAAAACTGAAAACCCACCACCTGAAATAAAGAGACTTAGCATGCAAGCACGCGGTTAGTAAATCGAATGCAGCGTACCTACAAACGCTGCGCCGGTTCTGCCTACGTTCTCTGCAGGACCCGTCGTCGCTTCGGCAGTGGTCCCGAGTGACCTCTCTCATGGCTCACTAGGCCTGCCTGACTAAGGCACTCCCGACCGCATGTTCTACAGCACCATGCGCTTGATGTCGATGGAGTACAATTCATCGGTGCTTGCCGCTTCCGCACTTGCCGCTTCTTCTCTGCATGCATGAGGGCTTTCTCCCGCATTTCAGCAACTGCCTTCGTGATTAGATCGCGCCATGCACCACGATCAACCGCCTTCGATTCCCATGATCTGCAATCAAGGTTAGAA